TATATTTTACTGTTACAAGCTATGGAAAGTGTGATTTGTATCGCTATATTTTACTGTTACAAGCTATGGAAAGTGTGATTTGTGTTCCTATATTTTACTGTTACAAGCTATGGAAAGTGTGTTTTGTGTCCCTATAATTTACTGTTACAAGCTATGGAAAGTGTGATTTGTATCCCTATATTTTACTGTTACAAGCTATGGAAAGTGTGATTTGTATCCCTATATTTTACTGTTACAAGCTATGGAAAGTGTGATTTGTGTTCCTATATTTTACAGCATTGGTAGTTTTCTTATCTAACAGGAGTGACACGCAGAAGGAAGTATCCAAAGCAAAGTTTCAGAGAAGGGATAAAGGAATGAAGAGGTATTAATTGAACTTGCAGAAGATTTGGAAAGGCTCGCCCAATTATCTTACCTGAAAGCTCCACGTGAAATGATGGATTAATTTGCACGTGACCAATTTATAGATGCCAAAACAGACAAAGATGCGAGAATGAAGTGTAAATCCTTACTAGAAGCTCTATGTTTGAATCCATTAAAATCGTAGATAAAAAAAACTAAAGGCATCATCTAGAAATTATAATATCATCATATCGAATAGTATTGAAACACGACCTCTACTTGACGATAGTCTAAAAGAACTGAAATGATTAGTTCGACTATACCTGAAAGGACATATTATCAGGAACTACAGACAAAAGTATGTGGGGAATAATAACTCCAAAAGGGTGTCAGTAAAAAGGAACTGTAATAGATGTAGAAAACTTGGTCATTACAGCCAAGGCTGTGAGGAATCAATATATATTAATACATAATAGAGACAATACCTTAAAGATGAGTCTTCAAATCTAATCAGACTAAAGAAACAACAAAGGGCTAACTATATATCAGGAAACAGGAATTAGTTAGACTTATGGGATATAGTTTTGCTGAGAATACCCCATGTGCCCCAAATGAAAAAGAAGTTCGTTATTTAAAGTAACCAATTCACAAGTTCATATATTTATTGATAGGAAGCCTTGCACTGATCAACACTGGTTCTACAGCTTCAACAGTTCAACCCTATTTGGTAATGAAAGATGAGAAACTGCCTCCAGTAAACATGAAAGAAGATGGATTGATGCAAACAGCAAATGGATATAAAGTTTCAGCAAGATGTAAGTCAGAAGTTACCCATTATTGTAGGGAACCTCTCTACATCTCATGTTACGTGGGTAATTAACATTTAGGAAGAGTGCATATTAGAAATTGGTGGATATTAGGAACTGACTTCATGCAAAGACTTGGATGGGAGGCTAGGCTAGCTTCTAATAGTTTCACATTCTAGGATTAAGAAATCCCTGTGCGCTACATGAAAAATACTACACGAGAGGTTGAACTTCTAATGGTAACTAGTTGGGCAGTTATCGTACCACCAAGACGTGAAATATTCATACCAGGACTTATTAGGAGTAAATTTACATCTAATGATCTGGATTAATGGTTGTGAGAACTGTCATGGATCTGAATAATGAAGATGTCATCATTAGGGCCATAAACACAACGAACCATAAAATTCGAGTTGTCTGAATGGGACAATAGAAGATGTGAAGCTGTACAGGTAACATTTCCACATTAAAGATCATTAGAAGTAGTCATGTTTGAGACAAGATGTAGGAAGACTGATGTCAAATCCTTAAAGAATGACAGCTTTCTACCTCACTTATAAAAGTTGTATGACCAAAGCTGTGGAGTTTTTACAACCAGTCGATGCCAGAAATTTCATGAGTTGCTTATGAAATATCAAGATAAGTTCTTCAGAAGACCTCATGGGATAGGCTGAACAAATAAAATGTCTCATAAGATTGATACTAGAGACATAGCCTTGTTTGTAGAAATGTGTTCGGTTCTTGGAACCAAAACAGACCAGGATAACAGTCCTTCATCCATCTTATGATAGCTTGGTGGAGAGATACAATCATACCTATTTAAACCAATTAACCATTTATGTAGATGAACATCAGAAAACGTCGGGTAGAGATCATCCATTGCTATCTCCGAGTTATGAAACAACAGTACACGTAATTACAGGCAACACACCATCATCACTGATGTTTGAGAAATAATTTAATGTGCTATGGGACCTTCCATTCTCATATCCAGAAGATAGCCACTAGCAAAGTCTTGTACAGAATATGTAGAGAGACTATGGAATAAATTACTTTACCCAGGAAAGACTTAAAAACCAGATAGTGATAAAATGAAAACTAACTATAATGTTAACGCTGATAAGACTAGATTCCTTCGATGTGATATATGTGCAATCCCCGCTGTAGGAAAGAATAAACCCTAAAGTTACTTAGGTTACGTGTGGTACTGAAAATAATCAATGATGTGGTTTGCAGAATTCAGAAGGACAGGCAGTCCAAGCCAAAGGATATCCACTATGACCATCTTTGGAAGTACAGTGATGACAGAATGGTCAACTGGGTAACTCCAGAGAATAATTTACCAGCAGAAAGCCAACCTGCTGAGACACCCAGAATTCCTGTTGAAACCATTTCCAGAGTATCACTAAGGATAGATACATCAGATGATTTGCTCGATAACCAACCTAGAGAGAGCTTTGCATTGATAGGACAGCAAATTATGATATGGGACAAGAAGCCACCAAAAGACTTGGTGAATAGATAGTTTAGTGTACTGTATTATTTGTGTATTACGATACTCCAAAGGACTTCACAATTCATGAAGGACGCAGTATTGCAAGCTATATTTTTAATGCTTTAATTTGGAGATTTGTTAAAATGTTCATGACATAAGGATTTGGAAAGTTAAGACTCGAGAACCTTTTTCTAATATGTAAAAACAGTGGTACAATATAATTGTGAATAGCTGAAGATGATTGTGCCAGTTCAGGATCAACTTGTTTATTCAGTGTAAGAAAAATTATCTGTTATTAGGAGTGAGAGTTATCGCACCAATTCGTCTATTCATTTGTTTAGTGAGTTAGTTAGCATGTTAAATCTAAAATAATTTTTTGACTTAGGCGTATATATCATTAGTTACGTGGGCTAGACTTAGCATTTTTTTTACCAATAATTCAAAATAACTCATCCAACGATAGAACACATTACAACATCATAACTATCTGAAAAAATACCGTAACAAGTATCATAAACAATACCTAGAACGTATTGTCGTTAATAAATACCATAAACAATACCTAGAACGTATTGTCGTTAATAAATACCATAAACAATACCTAGAACGTATTGTCGTTAACAAATACCATAAACAATATCAATTTTTGGAATATATTATCACTAATAAATATCCTAACAAGTACTGACATATACCTCTGAAATAAATACAAATGTTATTCCAACATCAAAATAAACTTGAAATAAAATCAAAGAGTTGATCTCTGCTGGGTTTCCAACAGTAATCACATTGTTTTTACTGGGCTTCGTTTTACAATACAGCAATGGATTTTCTGAAAATACCTTTTTTGTTATATGGTTAACATTTTCGCATACACAAAGCTTGCATTCTGATGTATTACATATATGTGTAAAACGTGAAAGTATAAGTATCTATGTGAACATGTATACATATCAATGTTGGCAAACACGTCTAAATTTTCTAATTAAACTGCATAATAGTTAAGCAACAATCAGAGAGGCAAAAGCCAGGCTAAGAAACAATGTCAGTCACTTTCAACAGTAAGTCTTGGGGTTTATGAATTTAATTAGACCACCTGTGACCCATTGGGCCACCGACTATGCAAAAGGTTATTCAAGCTAATTTCAATATTGCACCGAAATGAAGGTTTATTCTGAGATAATTTAATTAAATAGTTCAATCCATTCGTGTTATTCATAATTCAAGAAAAGACATTTGTTGATCGGGAGTAAAAAGAAAAACATTTCATTTTTCAAAAAAGTGAAGTAAGAGTTTTCAGGTATTGGGATGAATTAGTTCATTATGTTGTGGTCTTTCCTCTTAAACCTTCTACAAATAAGAAATAGTAAAACTTTATTTTTCTTAGTATTACCCACCATAACCAAGTCACATTATAGAGAAATTCTTCAGAATCTTGTTTTTGTCATCTTACGCCCTTTAATGAAGATGGGAACATTGACAGAGAAATAGATTTGAACGAAGAAGTCTCATAAAGCAGGGTTCGTACGCGTCCTGGAATGTCATGGAAATCCTGGAAAAACGCGAT